ATTTGAAGATGCAACAATCCTATGGAAAGCACAAATTAAACAGTCCTAGCCTCTTTCCGGCCAAGACTTCTCACAATGATAATAGAGCAAATTATCAGAAAAATCTTAGTTTATTTCAAACATTAAATAGATATAATCCTTCAATTCTAGGGACAGAATTGCATTCTACTACAGGTTGTACTTCCCTGGTCTAGCACCCTCAGGACCTGACTTGTCCCAGATGAGGGCTTTTTCTGGACCAGGGGTGATCATTTCAGGTCTCCTGCTGCTGTGCCTCTCCCCCTCTTTCCTGACTCCCCCTGCAGCGCAGCTCTTGGTCCCTCCCCAGCCCAGTAGAGCTCATACAATGGCTTCTAGCTCCTGTGCCTTCCTCCATCCTGCCCCCTACCTGCAGCCCAGCTGAGCCATGCGCCAGCTCCCTGCCCACCTCACACAGCCAAAATGAACCATGAGCCAGCTCCTGGCTCCTCTTTGTAGCCCAACTGAGCCACGCACTGGCTCCCAGGACCCAGTCCCCCTGCAGTGCACTGAGACTCTCTGATCCTGGAACATCTGTGGTTATGCAGGACCACAGATGTTGCTGGACCAGAGAATCCTGGATTTTAGAGGTGCAACCTGTACTATAAGGAAAAATAGCAAGTCCAGATGCTCTTCTTCATGTCTACTGGAAATATCACATAATCAAAGGAATCTGCACTGAATTGATATTTCTCAAAAGACAGCTAGTGTCAACTGGTTTCAGGTGATTTCCCATTCAGAGACCCCATTCATAGCAAGGATGATGAGTTTTTGAAGGTGTCCAAGGTGAGAGTACATTCCCACCAATATGCCTCTACAGTCCTTCCCCAGTGCACAGAAGGCAGGTGACTATTCAAGGTTTCTTCTCTAGTAACAATTGCCTTTCAGAAGTATTCCCTCTCTCTCTGAGCTTTCATATGAGGTGGGGGCCTCAGTCTCCAGCCCTATGAACCGGCACAGTTGCAACAACAAAATATGCCTTAGATCACAATGTGTCTGTTAGCTAGCTTTATTCTTAGTAATATTTTATGTTTGAAAATTCTGCACAATCCTTATTGTAAGTAAGTTTTGTGTTCAGTATTAGAATCAAATGTCTTGGTTATCTATTACTAGCAGGTGAGGCCCCTTGTTAACTGGGCAAAATCATTTTGCATAGATTAATCTTATAGGAAAGTTCAAGAAATGAAATATATGTAAAAGAATGTTTTATTAATGTGCTTGCAAAAAGGAAATAAAAGAACAGTTTTAAAGTTCCAGTTCAACTTCAAACATTATTCATTTTATTGAATAATTACGTTCCATTTCAACTTCAAACATTATTCATTTTATTGAATAATTACTATACATAGTAAATTTGAATCAGAAACTTGTAAAGCTTCCATTACTCTTTCCATAATTAATTTGAATTATTTTCTGATTTGTAACAGTAACAATTTTCTTTGTACTAAAATGACAATTCAATAGGCAACTTGATTTTAATTATGTTAGAAAATATTTTTATGAACTCTAAGCATAATAGTCATGACTTTTTTCCAATGAAAAACAAATAATTATTTAAATCTTTCACCTAGCATATTCTGGTGTGTAAAGTAGTGCATTCAGCTAATTTAAGTGGCAGGACTGTTTATGCAAAATTAGGTATCTGTAGGTAATCGCAAAGTATGACTTTATTTTGCACAAAGTCTGTCATATGGACCATGCAAATCTTGCACCAATCTTCCACACACACCCCTGCTACACAGAAACAAGAATAGGGCATCTTTTCATAGGTATCTTCAGTCCTGCTTCTCTCAGCATATTAATATTACATAACAGAAAAAAAGCACATCCAATTAAACTGACAGGAATGAATTGACATCATGATAATGAATGTCTCTTCCTTATTTTACCCTTTGGATGCACGGGTGGGAAGAAAGAGACAGAGACAGAGAGAGAGAGTAAAGGGAGATGCTAAAAGAAATGAAGGCTACAGGTTAGATTTAAAATAGATATCATTATATACTGAATATATTAAAGCAAAATAGACTTCCTTCACACAAAAATATTCTTCATTCTGCGCTGCCATCATTCTTGATAAACAGCTTTATTTTTCGTAATGATTCACACCTATGTTTACAAAGACCAGTGACGTTTTTCCACCTTTTATTTCCTCTTCAAACTCTCCTTCCCCTTCACCCAAGATTTTTCTAAACCTTTCACAGACACAATTGCTGAGGGCAGATGTTGATGTCTGAAAGGTATACGGCCCCTAAAACGTTTCTGTTCTTCTGGTGTTCCCCACTGGGTGGCTAGCAGGTTACAATAACAATGACAAATGCATACTTCTGCATCTACTCCTCCATCTTCCTCTCTTTTGCTTCAGCGCTTCTTGAGCTGACAAGACTTGTTCCTCACCTCACCTGACTTCAATTCCACTCCAATTTTCTCATTAGTCCACTGCCCCTCCACACCAGTAAAGGACCTCTGTCACTAAGATCATTCTCTTTGTCAAGCATAACAACCACTTTCCCTTCTCATCTTCGTTAATATACCAATTATTTTTAATATACCCATTATTTTTAATAGTCATTCCCTCTTGTTTCTGAGCTTTTTGACACTTTCGTTATCTAGTTCGCCTCCTGCTTCTATCACTGCTCTTTCTGCTGCTCTTCCCTTACCACTAGCCTAGCTCAGCGCTCTGTCCTTGTTCCTCTCTACATACCTTACCCTCTAGTCCTCTGGCTTCAATTCCCATCTGTGCTCTGTCAATTCCCAAATTTCGATCTCCACTACAATCGCTTCCCTTCTCTAGTGGCTCCTTCTGCCAGTTGATGCTCAAAGTGGCCAAGACTAAATGTGTCACCTCTCCATTCTAAACCATCCTTTCCTTTCCCTTTCTGACTAGTCTCCTTACCAGTTCCTCTTCCACCCCATACTCTCAGGCTGTCACCAAATCCTGTTGAGATTTTTCCAGTTCAACGTCTCTGAAATCAGTCCCTCCCTCTGTCCACACGAATAGTCTTGCCAGTAGTGTCCTTACATTGCAAAGTCCTGCCTCTATGCCCCACGGCAGGATATCTGACACCCCCACTGGCCTGGCCTCCCTCCAACCACATATCCACAGCTTGGCTCATTCTCTCCTTTCTTCCCCACAACTTGGGTGCCGCTCCGCCCCTTTCTCCCTATCCTACCCCCTCATCCCTGCTCAGCCCTCCCCTCCTTCTCATTGCCCATGGCCAGCCACTCCTCTGTGCCCTCGGCTGCCTTGGGGTCTCCCCCCCTCCCCCGCCCCTTTCAAGCTCCCTTTTCTCCTTCGGGTTCCCTGTCCCCAGCTCTGGTGTGTCCCCCCTCCCTTCCCCTGCTTTGGCTCCCCCTCCATCCTTTGGATCCCCTGTCTCCCCACCCCCCGCTCTGCTGTTGCCTCTCCTGCAAAGGTATCTCCTCCAGTTTCCCTCCACGCAGATCCAAACCCTCCCTCGACCCTGATCCAGCCGCGCTCGCTGGCTTCCCCAGCGCGGCGCATGTTGGGCCTGCAGGGCCCCGCACATGCCCGGAAGGCGAAGGCACTTTCTGGCCAGAGCAGAATCTGCTCCCAATCCTGAGCCCCAGCCCCGGCCTCCTGCAGTAGCCTGGCCCCTTTCCCTGCGTCGGCGGCCTCTGCAAGACGTCACGAGACAAAACTAGAAGGACCCGGCGGGTTTTCGCGCACCTCGTCCGAAAGAAGGGGAAAAGCAACTCCCCGAGACACCCAGCCCCTGCCCCGCACACACTGTGTATGTGGGGGGAATCGGGTGAGCGGAGGCTGTTGCCCAGACAGGTACTCTACACCCGTGTGAGCCCGTTTCCCCCTCGCACACAAGCTGCAGTCTCGTGGCCTTCCAAGCTCGCGCAAAAAGTTCGATGCAACTTTTTAAAGTTTGTCTTTTGCGATTTGTTTTCACTGTTAACCCAAACCAGGGCATTGTAAGGTCCTTGTCAGCGCGCGCGCGGCGAGGGGTGTCCTTCCATTAAAAATATATGGACAGGTTTGTTTTAATTACGCACTATTGGAAACATAATAAATGGTGGCGCTTCTTGGGCCAATTGATTATAAAAATTATAACTTCAGGCAGGCGGGGGCTAGAGGCCTGGGCGCTGCAAAGACGTCCAGGTTAAAAACAATTTCAGGTTCCCTAGAGCCTGGGAACTGTATGTGTGCAGCCTTCCATTAAAAATATATGGACAGGTTTGTTTTAATTACGCACTATTGGAAACATAATAAATGGTGGCGCTTCTTGGGCCAATTGATTATAAAAATTATAACTTCAGGCAGGCGGGGGCTAGAGGCCTGGGCGCTGCAAAGACGTCCAGGTTAAAAACAATTTCAGGTTCCCTAGAGCCTGGGAACTGTATGTGTGCAGGTAGGCATTCAAAGTGACAAGCAGCTCAGAGAACAACGGTCGGACTCGGCTGTGCCTGGATTCCCTGACTCTCCTTGGGAAGAAACAAAATCCCCCCAAAAGCCACTTGCCAAACACCCCGTTCCTCGCAACGGCCCCAGCCGGCAGCGGGGTCTCCCCCAGGCGCCCCCCAGCAGAGATTTCAGAGCCCCTCCTCCTGCGCTCGGCCACACGCACCCGGGCAAGGAGAAGGGGGAAGAAGATGGCCGTTTGTGATCCAATATAAAAGCTCTTTGTTGCACTCACACAAAAGCCAAGAGCCACTTTTCGGCCCGGGCCTGAGGCCCAGTGCTCTGCTCTGGGGCGAAACGAAAAAATCCCCCACACGGAAGAAAGCTCGGCTGAAAAGGGAACACGAAAAAAAGAGCGAGAGGAGAAACGTGAAAGCCGCAGCGTTGTGCTCAGCAGCCCTGGGACTCATTCAGCCTCCTCAGTCTAGTGCCTTTTCTCGAGGCAGCATGGGAATCCCAGCAGGTCCAGAGCCACCACCAACAAAACACAACAAACCAGTTGGTCTGATCAGCCCAAAACGGCAGGAGCAGCAGGATGTCTGTGATCACTTACTTGTCCGTCTCTTGTGACATGTTTGATCCAATGAACTCTCTCCCCTTTTCCTGCTGCCTCAGTCTCTCTGGTGAAACTGGACTTTCAAGTCTGTGCAGGTGAAGGTGTGTGAGCGCCCGGGACGGGAGAACCAGAGCTACTGGTAATTCTGCTTTCTTCCCCCCTCCCGCCTCTCCCTCCGCCAGCCCCAGAGGTAGGACAGGTACAGCCCCCTCTCCCTTCACGTGTGGGCAGAGGCTGGGTGCTGGGTTCTCTCCCGTGGTGCTGGGGCAGGGGGAGGTACAGAGCGGAAAGCAGCAGACCTAGGCGCCCACAGGTAACTTTCTCGAGAGGAGCTGGATTCTTTCACTGAAGGATACACGGCAGAGGGACGCGCTGCGAGCTGATTGGATAGGGGTGGCGCTCAGGTGAGCTGCCATTGGAAGAGACGCGCTCAGGTAAGGCCCCCGCTTAACTCCAGGTAACTCGCTGCGGAGCAGGGCAGCACGGGGCTGGCTGGGAGAGAGAGCTGAGAAAAGAGCTGCCCGAGGCTGGCTGTAGGCAGCTGAGCTGGGGGGAGACCTGCTGGTCCAGCAGCCCGCAGGCCCGAGCGAGGCGCCATCAGAGCTCTCTGCGCTCCACATAACTTTTTCCTCGGGCTGTTTAACAATCAGCCCCACCCCCACCCGCAGACAGCTGAAATGCCAGCCGAGTAGGGGAAAAGGCCAACGCTATTGAATTCAGAGATCTAAAGAACCCTGGATGGCCAATGGGGTATGGCTGAGAACAATAAACAAGAACGTTTATTGTCCTGTACAGAGGGATGTTTGGAAGAAATATGTAACTACAGCTACCTGAGAGACAAGCATATCTATTATATGATTGCACTGTACCAGTTTTACCTAAACAACAAGATTTACAATCCAAATCAGAGCTATAAAAATGAACTTGTGAGATTTATGCTCAGTTAAACAGCATTGTCCAGCTTTATTTTTGGCTTTAGGAAAACGGTAGGGAAAAATTCACGTCTATGCCTTTGACTTTCCCAACCAAAACCTGTCAAGGAGTCACCTGCACTTCCTACCCACCCATTGTTACAATTCCTGAGCCCTGTCAGTATCACACAGGCATCCACTGACTGTTTCCCTGTTTTTGTTGTCATTTGGTGTTCTTCAGAGTAGCATCAGCCATCAATGTTTGCTCTGTAACTCCACAGAAACAGGACTTAGACACACACTGTTCTTCATGCTTAAAACAGATACTCCATGAGGCTGGAATGAACTGAATTTTAAATTGCTGGATTTGTCAGAGAAGAAAACATTTCACAATGAAGCCAGATTCATGATGCCAGAAGATGACACCCACCATCTGAATCTAAGAGCTAGTTGTAGCAAATGATGTGGCACATCTGTCAGGATACAATCTGCAAGCACAGAGGTCCTAAGGAAAATAAGTGCTCAGAAGCTTAGTGACAAAAACTCGCTATGCATCATAAATAATAACCCTTACTACATAGTATATAAAGCTATTTATATGCCATTATATAATACAAGTTTTCACAGGAGTAATAATTAGTTGTCCTATTTCACAGTAGGATTAATTAGTTAATAAGAACATAAGAACAGCCATACTGGGTCAGACCAAAGGTCCATCTTGCCCAATATCCCATCTTCCAACAGTGGCCAATGCCAGATGCCCCAGAGGGTGTGAACAGAACAGGTAACCCTCAAGTGATCCCTCCCCTGTCACCCTTCTCCAGAGAAACAGAGGCTAGAGACCCCATTCCTACCAATCCTGACTAATAAGTATTGTTTGGCCTATCATCCATGAATTTATCTAGTTGCACTCCATGAAGAAATATTTCCTTTTGTTTAAACCTGCTACTTATTAACAATTATTTTAAAATGCTTTGTCCAGGTAGTTCACTAGACCAACAACTGTTCACAAGGCACTAAAACATAGATATTTCAATTTCAGTTATGCTCATATGCCTTTTTAGTTCACAAAGGTATTCACTGGTAGAAACATTTACTGAAATAGTATATTTTGTAGTAAATATTTAGTAATTTTCAAATATAGAAAATTTTGACCTTGTGGAGCCTAAATCTTTTCTCACATCACTTTAAACAAAATTTTAATAAATTGGGATTTCAATAATGTAAAGATGTAAATGTAAAAATCAGCATGAGTTCAGAAGCAGATGCATAAATGTTTGCACAAAACTAAGTCTACATTCAAAGTTACTAGCCAAATTAAGCTCAAATCAATTGCACAAACCTAAGTCTATATTCAAAGTTACTAGCCAAATTAAGCTCAACTCAATATAAGCCAGGTTTCAGTTGATTTCAAAATATCCACTAAACATTTGCAGTGGTTTAACTATATTGATTTTAAAATGTTTTTAGCTAACCCAGTAGAGTTTTGAGTGTAGACAGCCTGATTGTTAGGAATCAAAAACAATACCTTGCCACCTATATGGCTAGTCAAAAGTAACAGCTTGAATTTTGAATAACAAATGCTGCCAATAAATTAATCAAACTATCTATAAGCCAAGAATTATTCATAAAAATGATTCTACAGTAGTTGTGTGTTATCTGAGACAGTCAAAATTCAAATAGGAAAAAAGTCAGTCCATTCAATAAAGTATGCACTACAAATAATTTGCTCATTTCTAACAAGGAAGTATGATTCTCAGAGGGGTAGCTGTGTTAGTCTGTAACTGAAAAAAAATAAAAAAACAACAAATGGTCTTGCAGCACCTGAGAGGCTAACAAAAAACATAGAGGCTACGTCTAGACTGGCATGATTTTGCAGAAATACTTTTAACGGAAAAGTTTTTCCGTTAAAAGTATTTCCGCAAAAGAGCATCTAGATTGGCAAGGATGCTTTTGAGCAAAAAGTGCTTTTGCACAAAAGCATCCGTGCCTAGTATAGATGCGCTTTTGCGCAAGGAAGTTCCGATGGCCATTTTAGCCATCGGGCTTTCTTGCGCAAAAAATTAAGGTGCCTGTCTACACTGGCCCTCTTGCACAAGTATTCTTGCGCGCTTCAGTGGGTAGCCAAGTTAGTCTGTTACAGAAAAAAACAACAAATGGTCTGGTAGCACTTTATAGACTAACAAAACATGCAGATGGTATCATGAGCTTTCGTGGGCACAACCCACTTCTTCAAGTATCATGATCTTTGTGGAGTGTCGTGGGTTGTGCCCATAAAAGCTCACAATACTATCTACTTTTTCTGTTAGTCTCTAAGGGTATGTCGGAGAAAAAGAAAGAAAAAAAAGGAAAAAAAGGAAGGGTGTGTGTGAGATAGGGCATCAATAAGCATCTGAAGAATAGGTACCAACTACATGTTTTGTTAGTCTATAAAGTGCCACCAGACCTGTTATTGTTTTTTAAGGATGTCACCTTAAAACCACTTGGGGACCTAAGGATACAATTTATCAGTAGCATTTCTTAGGAAAATAAAAAGTGAAATGCTGGCTCTGTTGAAGTCAATGTGAACACTCCGGTTTCAAATAGGGCAGGGGTTCATTCCAAAACCTTAAGTTTTAGATATCCTAAAACAAGCTTCGGTATTAGTCCAAAAAGGACTATTTGTACTAGTAAGCAAATAGGTGGTTCCCAATCAGAGCTAATCCTTTCTTTCTCTTTATTTTTAACATTACAATAACATTTAGGTTGTGATTTTTCATTTTCCTAATGAAGTCTTTAAAAGCCACTGCTGAGTACTTTTGAAAAAACTACTTGTATTGAGGTAGGAGCGTGGACGTGGAAGGTTGGATGACTTTATAAGAAAAACATTCTCATCGCAATCCTGGATCAAGTCCAGTTGGTAATCTGAACTGAAGTTTGTTGTTCTAGTACACAGATCACAATACGAAACTGTTTTTGGCATTCAGTTCTTAGGGAGATTCCCTCAGAATGAGCTAAACCCAGGGACTGAATAAGCTTTCACCCTCAAAGAAAGTGGCCCAAGGTCAAAACTAGTGGAAAATTATAGGGCAGTGGCCCTTTCTGTCTTGTCATTGTTGGAGCTGTTTAGTGATAAATATTCTTATTCCTAGGGATGTAAAATCCCATTTAAAAGTTAACTGGTTAAACATCACATTTAACCAGTTGCCCCAGCAAGCATGCCGGGTAACCAGTTAACTCTTTACATCCCTACTTATACCCCAGCCTGTAGGTGTGGAAGAAGGAAAACAGATCCTCAAAATCATCCAACTGTATTTCATGAGGATTTCTTTGTTTGGATGGAGTTTTTCTGCTACATTTAGCAGATGGAAATATATCTTAAAACATTGGAGTCAAGTTCTAATTGAGCAAGTCAAACAAGTCCTGTCTGGTCCAACTTGCTTCTCATTCTCCGTGATCTACAAAATCTCCATACCCTGTATTTGTTTGTCAATGAGTCAGTTGCAAAATCAACTAACAGTCTCTTCTGACCTAAGAAATCCTCCTCTCTTGTAATACAATCAGTCATTGAGTTAAAACCCAATAGCTATGTGGCATATACTTTAAAATCTATGAAAACTTTAAAAACAACAATGGTCCTGTAGCACTGTAGGGCTCGTCTGTACTAGGAAATTATTTCGAACTAACTCCTGAAATAACCATTTTGAAATAGCGTGTGCACAGTACAGGGAAGTCTTGAAATTAGTCCAAGACAGGCTCCCTTAATGTGGACACGCTACCTCGACATAGAGCCTCAGGAAGCACTGGGGAGTAACTACTTTGAATGACTCTGGGGTGTAGCTGTTTTGAAATAGAAGCAGTGGAGTGTCACACTACTGCTATTTCAAAATAACTATTTCAAAATAAGCATTATTGCTTGTGGAAAGCAGGAGTTATTTCTTCAAAATAACTAGCCTGTTATTTTGAAATAACGAGCTTGGTAGTGTGGACGCAATTTTTGTTGTATTTCAAAATAACTCCCTAGGTAGACCAGAGCTAAGAGACTAACCAGAAAATATATAGAAAGTATCATGAGCTTTCTATATATATTTTTCCTTAGTCTCTAAGATGCTTCAGGACCAACATTTTAAAAGTTTTTTTAGTTACAGACTAACATGGCTACCCTGCTGAGACTTTAACATCTATGGTGTATCTTTGGACCCTTACAAGAATAATTAAGCTGACAGTTTCATTTACTGTTCCAGGCAACCACTGTTTTTCATGTTTTGCTTTGGCTTGCTTGTTTGCATAGCAGCTTCTAGTTTTACTATAGCATTACGCCAATAAAAAACATAGAATTCAACTAAGAACCTTTTTCATGTTTGCATTATTTGCTATATTACAGCTAATTTTAGCATTGGTTGGAATTGCCAGTGCTGGGCAGAAAAAACAGCAAATATAAGGTTTAACTAGGGTTACTAATTGGGGTAAGTATCTAAAATGGTTTTCTGAAAACTACTAAAAGAAGTCTATGAGATAAAAGGTATGAAAGTTTAACATTTATA